GGGAGTCTACTTTAGCCGACTCGGCGAACTCGATAAAGCCGGGCACCCGCTCGATGTCCGTGCCGTAGGCCTGCCGGAGCATCGCCACCAAACGCATCTTACGGGCGTCCGACCCCTGGCCGCCCCCTCGTCGTCCCCGCTACTGGTGCTCCGTTGCGGCACTAGTTTTGAGCCTATGGTGTGGTTAGAGGGGGTTGGTGTGGGTTAGCACAGGTAGTTATTTGTGTATATAGTGTAGTGTTTAATGTGTTACAGGTGCAGGTAGGAATTTTATATATGATTAATTGTATGTTTACTGTTGTTTATTAATCGTTACTAAAAATGTTTTTGTAGCTAGGTTACTAGTAAATTGCATAATATAAAACTATTTTATTCATTAAACTATCAGATTATTTACACTGTATACAGCACAATTAATTATATTGGTTAAGCCTACAGTATATTCATGACTATGTTTGCGATTAGCTAGCTACAAATAAACTTATAATAATAAAATACACAAAATTAAAGCAATCCTAAAATAGTCTAGCTACAAAATTACTGTATTTAAATAACTAGCATGATAAAATATTTTAAACTAAATTAAAAGTATCCACAATAAATAGCAATTAGTTTATAAGCGAGTTCAAGGGGACTGACTGTTTTTGCGGCGGTGGGCGCCCGTCTGCCTGTCCAGCGCCTCGGCCGCCCTAATGGCGCGTATGTGTTGCTGAACATTGGCGGCGATCTTATCCTGCTTTCCCTGCCGGAGCCGCTCGAATAGGTTGAGCCCCTGTTTGCGTTTGATCGTCGGCTTCCTATCGACCGAGTGCTGATGAAAAGCTCCCGTTCCCCCGGCCGGTGCGCTCTTGAAGTGTACGTCAAACGAGTGGTTACTATAAGTAAATAGAAAATGAATGGTTAGAGAGAGAGAGAGAGAGAGAGAGAGAGAGACTAATTATTATATGTGGTCACAAAATGTCTATTGAGAGCTCCCAGTCCTCCTTTATATCTTAATTATATGTGAGGGGAACGGTATGTGTGCTTGATTTGAGCCCCAAAACTAATATATGTTTTTTATATAAAGAAATCTTGAGATGCCTTTAGATGTCATATAATTTTGTCGTCTTTTATGGTATGAAGTATTGGCTGTCGAGTGGACTATTGATAAGAGATTGTATGATTGAAAATGTTTTTGTGCCTTGATACATTAATATATACGGATATGCTAGTAATTAATTATAAAATACAGGCTTACTATGTCAAACAATCTATTAATAGCATTAAATGCTAGCTAATTGCTAGAGTAATTAGGTTTTTAACACCAATATTCAGATATACAGTGGGATTAAAAACAGTGTTTTGTTAATGATTTTAATCCCAGTGTTTGTCTGAATGTATGTATGAATTGTTATGATGTCTGTGACCGTAGTTATGATTATTATTACAGTGTTTTGCACTAATTTTAGGCTTAAATTGTTTTATTCATAGAGTAAAGTATGTTATTATAGAGAATATTCTGTTATATAGTCGATAGGCATGAATGTAACAGTCGTTTGCAATGGTTTTAAATTTTTAATGCAAACTATTTAACAGACATTTGAATGAATTGTTTTTGTGTGTCTCAAGTAATATAATATTATAATAGTTTGTGTGTATATAGTATGCGGGGTAAACATTTGAATAATGCACTAAACATGCAAATTAAACATAAGTTTGTGAAATTCAAATAACAAATTGTTTGGTTAATGAACTAAATAATTATAAATTAGATCGTATTTTTGTTTGCGAGCCTATTGTCTAAATTACTATAGTTTTTGAAATTGAATTTTTAAATTAAAATATTTTTCGTCGACGAGAGAGAGAGAGAGAGTCTATTGTAGTTTTAAGGGTAAAAATAAAACATAGCATACAATACACGACTAGAAAAATAAAATTTTCCGCAATTATGTTCACTATTAGCGGCAAAAAGTGTACAAAAACTTTTGAAAAATGTATTGATTTTTGTGTTTCAAAATCGATATAATAGTGTATAAAAATAAATTAATAGATTGAGTATATTTTATATAATAGTATATATATTTTGATCCAAAACCTATTGAAATGTAATGATTAATTTTTACCATATTAATAGTATAGCTAATATCTAACACACAGAATATTCTGTGTATTAATAGAGTTTTATAATCAAATTTATGTTAATATAGTGAAGTCTTCATTATATTTTAAAATTACATTTTTATATACAGTATATATATTTTTCTGAAACTATATTTACGGTAAAAATTATATAATCAAAAAGTTATTCATGCAAATAGGGGCTGGCACAATTAGCTAGGCTCAACTTAAGCTAATTAGTTTGTAGTATTCATTAGTTTTCAGTGTTAGGCACTCAATACATGACTAATTATACGGCAAATGATAAGTTTTTGGGGCGAAAAAGCCTAATATATAAGCAAATTAACAACAAAACGCACCGTTATCTCAACCGAATGTTTGATAAGGACTTATGGATTGGGGAAAGGGATGATAGAGAAAGCACTGGTAGTCTCATGGAGTACTAGTATAGCTGCTCATGGATTCCAGTCGTATCCCATGTTTCTACAGTTAATACGAAATTCACGGTAAGCCTCGGCCTCGCAATTAAATTAAGTTATTCATTGTGTCTATACTTGTAGTGCTATTTGAGACACAATTTCATACCATTGTGTCGACAAAAAAGTTTTTATTTTGATAGAAAATTGGTAGAAATTTTTTAGGCTACAAATTATTCGGTAATTTGTTACAAGCACAATTTTTGTTGAGTTATATTTCTATACAACGTAATGTAATGTGAGTTAAAAAATTAGTATAGCTTTTCATCGCATCATTAGTTGGCTATTGAATTAGCATTGGATTAGATATCAATGTAAAAGTATATATAAAACAAAATATATAACAATTGATTGTATATATAGTTCACCAAGATAACTTCCGGTTTTGGTTAGCAATTAATCAATAAATTCAAGTCTTATATAATATACAATTTCATGAAAATAACACACATTTGTTATTATAAATCAAACACTAAAAACATAGCAATCAATGGATTAACGATTTATTTGGTGTTTGAATGCAATGTGTACTGAGTTTTGAGGCACAGATTTGTAGCCATATTTTTCGGGTGTTATTAAAGTTACGGCCAATTAATGGCAATCATAGGACACTATAATTATGACATTAATGACAGTAAATAAATGGGTTGAGAGAGAGAGAGAGAGAGAGAGAGAGCATACATATGATGGTCGGACACAATGACTATAACACTGGAGGCCCTAATCTAACGACTCTAATGGCTTTCCGTCAGATAAATGCTTGTAAAGTAAGGCCTACTCTTACGGCCATTGATAAGCCATTTATTGCATGAAATTAATGCAATGAATAGAAATGAGTCTCAAATGGTATGCCATGTATAGAGGGATTGGGAAATGAGTTTAGGATTTGATTTTTCGCATAAAATATATTTTCGCAAACATTTCAAATGAATATTTTTATACATTTTAAAATTTTTAACAGATTTTTGGTGTTGTTGAATAGTTTAGATTTTTGTGTAGATTTTAAATTTATTTATTATATAACTGTCATATACAGGCATAGAAAATATTTATATACGAGTGTATATAATAATGTAAAATTAAATTGAATTTTTATCATTTCTGTGTATAATATGTTAATAGTTTTCAAATATAATAATAATTGAATACTTAAACATATTTATGATAAATATTCACACAATTCATAATAAGATAGTATATTTTTAATAATAGATATAAAATTTAAAATTAATTAAAATTTTTTATATGTCTACGTGTATAAAATATTTATTATATAATATAGACAGTTAAGAATTTATATTTAAATTCATAAATTATCATAAATATTATAGATTATTCATAAAATTATTTAATTTAATTTATTAAAATTTATATCAAAATTAAAAAAGGACCTGTACACATTATAACTGGTTATATACTTGTTTATACAGCTGTTTTGTACCAGTGTACTATTTGTTTATTATCACTTTTTTTTATACATACTCTTTGAGCTCATTTATAATACATAATAATATTATGCATACAGTACAATATTTTCTACATTACTTATTTTTGTAAAATATAAATATAACTCAGTTTTATGTTTAATTTTAAAAATAAGCAATGTTTTTATAAATGGACTTGTTAACATTACATTCTACACTATTGTAGTCAACAGCATTAATACAGAAAGGGTGTTTTTTAATATTTCGGAGGATTTCAAACTGTAATAACTTTTTTATTTCACAAAATAAACACATGTAATGTATATCAAATGAAAGTGTGTTTATCTGAGAATGGGTTAGTATTTTATTTCGTAACAAAACAATGAGTACAACACAATTAAACCCGACGGGAAGGGATGACTACATCCGGTTACTTTACAGTGAGAAGTACTCTTACAGTCAAATCGAGAAAACTTTATTAAAATACGGGATTTTCGCCAAAAAGTCGACAATTAGTGATGTGATTAACAGAAACACAAAGAAGAGTCGTTTAAGTGCTGGTGAAGTGGTGTCACCACAAAAGCCATACCCACGGACTATAACCAAACCATATGTTATTAAATTTATCGATCGGGAGACAGACCGCGAGAACCCTCCTTCCCAGCGATCAATGGCCAGATCTGTCGGGTGTGTTGTGTCGACAATAAACAAAGTGATTAACAAAGACTTAGACAAACGTATTCGTAAGAAGAAGAGTCCAATCACTAAATTGCCGACAAATAGCTCAGCGAAAGGGCGCCGCCCGTCGGCTTTATGAACGATATTTAGCCAAAAATCGGTACAAATTTTTGGCCACTTTGGATGAGGCATATATTTATATGTCTAACACCGGAGGCCAGAGATCAGTCTATTATATCAGAAGAGGACAAATGGATGATAAAAATTATGTTAAATTGCGTGAAAGACATCCCGGCGGGTTCATGATTGTGGCCTGTGTCACATATTTGGGTAAATTAAAACTAATAAAAGTTGACCCAAAAGTAAAAATCAATTCTGGTTATTATTGCAATGTTTTAAAGCAAGTCTTTAGACAGTTATCAAGACTTTACCACAAGGATGACCATGAACGCTTGTGGTTTCACCAGGACAAGGCAAGCAGTCATTTTTCGCGTCAAACTATGCAAACATTAAACTAATTAAAGGTCAAATATGGCATCAATTTCATTCCCGCAAATGATATCCCAGTGAAAAGTCCAGGCATTGCGTTAATGGACTTTTGTGTGTTTGGTCTTTTAAAGCAGGCCTTATTCAAACACAAGCCCGCAAACACTGATGAGCTCTGGAAAGTAACGCAAACCGAGTGGCGGAAACTATCGATGGCCACGATTAGGAGAGCTATGATTAGCTGGAAATACCGGTGCCGTTTGGTTGTCCAGAGAGGTGGTCATCATATTGAGAATGTTTTGCATTCAAATAGAGTTGTATTTTAATTATTTTTAACTAAACAAATCCTCCGAACTATTAAAAAACACCCATCTGTAATCTCAAGAACCTTGCTGCTTAGCAATAATCATGTTATTTGTCTCTTATAATAAAGTTATTATACTTATCATTATAGTTATAAACACTATTGTGTAGTAAATGCATAAATATTAATAACTATTGTCACCATTTTGTATAATTATTGTAAATATAAATGTTTAATAATCATTGAATTAATATAAGTTATATTTATGATTATTAGTATTATTCAAATATTATCCTTAATTGTGAAAAATATTTTATTAATAAAATGTCTTCCGATATAAATAATTATAAAATTTGTGATAAAATACCCGAAGATTTAAAACAAGAAATTAAATTATTTTATGTTTTCGATGACAGAAAGGGATATAACATACTGTTTGTAACATTTGATGATATGGTGTATGGATTGGGATCTAATAGTAAGGGTCAGCTCGGGTTAGGACACAACACATCCATCCATACACCACAACCAGTGCCACAATTATGCCATAAAAATATACATCAGTTTATCAATGGATGTGACTTTGTATTGGCTGTCAATACGGATAATAATGTGATATTCAGTTTTGGTTGTAATAGTAGGGGACAATTGGGACGGGATGCGAAAAGTGTGGTACATAATTTATTTAATTACATTTTTAAAACCTCGCAGGGCAAGGATTCAAATCATAAACCTGGTACTATTTCATTTTTCAAATCAAATAAATTAAATATTCAACAAATAAGTTGTGGTAATAGTCACACAATTGTGTTGACATCAAATGGACAGGTATTCGGATGGGGTAATAATACTAGTAGGCAAGTTGCTGGTGGTGATTACTACCGTGACTATCGTGATTATATCTTAACGCCAATTCCAATTAAATTTGCTTCAAGGTATAAAATTTGTAGAATTGTAAGCAATAACTGGTCATCAGCTGCCATTACCAGTGAAGGACAAGTGTTTATGTGGGGAATGTGGGGTAATATACCGTTTGGCTGGTCTACCATTTGGAAACGCCCAAAAATATTAGATGTATTTAATATACACACTGTTTGTTTAGATCAAACTTCATATAAATACTTGCTATCAAACGATGGATTCATATATTCATATGATTTTGATGAGAAATGTATGAATAGATTAACACATATTGTGTTCAATGACATCAAACAAATAAAATCGTATAACTTTTTGGAACCACAAATTCTGGGTAAATCTGGTCATAAAATATATAGAATTTCTTCTCAACAACTCATTGAAACAAATTATGAATCTATTGATGAATACTGTTTACATGAATTGCAATTGACTTTCAATACAATATCAACACATAATCAACAAAATATTGTCCAAGACCAATTGAACGTAAACACAGACATATTATGTGGTAAATAATGAATTAAATGTTTTGTTTATTATATAAACAAATATACAGTAGCATTAATTATATTAAATTATATTAAATTATATTTCTAATATAAGATCTATTAACTAGTGTATTGTATTTAGAAAATGTAACATTTGACAAACAATTTGATGTAATAAATAAGCTTGGTGAGGGTGGCTATGGACAGGTATATAAAGTTCAAAATAAATGTGACAAAGAGATATATGCAATTAAAAAATGTCCACTAAATGGTAATTAATTTATATTATATATGATATACAAGTTATAATTATTTCTAATCGTTTCAAAAGACTTAACAGAAAAAGAGAAACAAAACGTTTTGAATGAAACCAAAAGTCTAATCAAAGTTCGGTCAGAGTTTGTGATTCAATACTACTATTCATGGATTGAATGCAATTGTCTTTACTTTCAAATGGAGTTATGTATCAATAATCTCAACAATGTTTTGAAAACTAAGAAATCATTGTTTAATGAATTGATGACTATTTCTGAGTTTTATGTATCGTATCATATATTTTATAGACTCACAGAATGTGTACAATATTTGCATCAAAATAATATCATTCATAGAGACCTCAAACCGGATATACAATGTTTTGGAAACTAAGAAATCATTGTTTAATGAATTGATGACTATTTCTGAGTTTTATATATCGTATCATATATTTTATAGACTCACAGAATGTGTGCAACATTTGCATCAAAATAATATCATTCATAGAGACCTCAAACCGGATAATGTGTTGATTTCAATGGACGGAGAAATAAAGTTATGTGACTTTGGTTTGGCTAAAGAGATCCCAAATTGTGATCCGTTTCTTATGTCTAAAACCAAACATACGGAAAATGTTGGCGATGAGGAATATATGGCACCGGAAGCCATGACAAGTGATTACAACAATTTGATAGATATCTACAGTCTATCCCTAATTGGGGCTCAAATTTTTGGTTTCAATAAAAAGGATATAACTGACGGAAAGTATGTTTAAATTCTTAATATTTATTAAAAGAACTTTTTATGAATGATTTTTAAAATTTTTAACACTTATTTTAAGTCTTAACGGAAGCTATACTGATAATATTCATGATATGATATTTATGACTAAAATGAATGCATTATTGGTGTCAATGGCTGTCAATAAGTATCGCAAAAACGGTTCAACAGATTGGAGGCAAAGACCCGAATGTTTCATAAAGTTATGTGACTTTGGTTTGGCTAAAGAGGTCCCAAATTGTGATCCGTTTCTTATGTCTAAAGCTAACCATACGGCAGGTGTGGGAACTGTTGACTATATGGCACCGGAAGCACAGATTAATGAATACAACCATTTGATAGATATCTACAGTCTATCCCTAATTGGGGCTCAAATTTTTGGTTTCGATACATACGATTTAATTGAGGGAAAGTATGTTTATATTAGAGAACTATTCTAATAATTTAATCTTTATAAATAATTTCAACTTTTACAGAATTTTAAAATATAATAAAGATATGAATGAATGGATTCATAAAATGAATGCCTTATTGGTGTCAATGGCTGTCAATAAGTATCGCAAAAAGGGTTCAACAGATTGGAGGGAAAGACCCGAATGTTCGCACATTTTATCACAATTGCAGACATTTATGACAAATAAACCCATTATTGGGGAAAATGAGTGGAAATTAATTACAACTAATATTAATGACAATACAATTTTGAAAATATTTCTGAGAAGTAAACCATTTTGTTTCAAACCAAGGAATAATCAGAAAACAAGTTTAGGTTTTTGTTAAAATAAAACTTTATTGAAATAATTTTAATAATTATTTATCATTTAGAAACAGGGGAAATCAATGAGTCCATGTTTGGAAAGATTTATACTTACTCTTATACATCATATAAACATATATCTTCAGGACATTTGTATAACATATATAAAATAAATATACCAGGTTAGAATAGAAATTACAAAACAATTATCTACATGTTATAATTATATGTTATATATTTAATCATATTATATACCTCTATATATAGCTTCTGTTAAAGAAATGAATGAATTAGTTGTTGAAGTAAACAAAATATTTGATACGAATTCCAATATTTCTGCCGAATATTACAATTTCTGGATTCAAAATAATAAAGCATTCATTCAAAGTGAATATAAAGCACTATATTTAGGGCATTTAATTGACTTTAAAAATGCAATCTTCGAAAACAAGACCTCCGTTGACATGTTTTGTATTGATTTCTACATATCGTGTGAATTAATTCGAGAACTCTTGCAATGTCTTCATTATCATCAACAAATGTGGGGAATATTAGACAAATTGTATATAAGCGATGATTATATGCTAATTGACATGGATATGAAGTATGACAGATGTATCAGGGTATACACACACTATTCTCAAAAAGCAAAAGGGTATCGGCCTAATTGTTATAGTTATTACCGGCAAAAGATTTATCATATTTTTTGGAAAATTCTGAAAATGTAAGTATAATGATCTAAATTTAATATAATTTTTAATAATATAATATATTTAATATCATTTAGGGACAACATACTGACTGACCAGGGTATACAAACTCATAGAATTAAAGAGTATGTATATTATGGTGGCTATCAACATAAAACTATCCCTTCGGTCGAGGATATGGTCAATGAATTCAACGATATTTTCGCGCATAATATCCTAATAACCGATGTAATGATTTCCACATTTCAAACACACATTCAATCCAAATATTTACGAAAATTTAATTCCAATTTCTTCTATAAATACTTATTAATGAAAACCAATTCAACAAACAATTCATCAAAAGATTTGAGTCCAACGGCTCCGGAAGTTAACCGAAATATACTTCAAAAGTTGTGGATCAGAGTCCGACCCTTAGTAACCAGAATTAGATTGAACTCAACCCACACTCGACAGCATTAAACTCCACATCACTTCGTAGAGTAGGTCCACAACTGGATGCGCTGCGTCCTTACCCTTCATAGAGCACCGGTCGTCGGCCAAACCATCTATGAACCCCTGCGTACACCCGCTTTCATAACCCAATCAGCGTATTGGCCAAAGGCGAGCACCTGGACCTCCAACTCGTGAAACAGTGGTTCCGACAGATAGTCTCAGCGGTGGAGTACTTTCACGGCATCGGTATCGCGCACCGGGACCTCACAGCCGATAACATACCATGAAAGTGACGGACTTTGGGCTCAACCGTGAGATACCACTCGCAGAGGACGGCACCCGCAAGACGGGTCGATCTAATTGCGGTGCAATTGAATACCAGTCCCCCGAAGCCCTCATACCTGTCCAGCCCTACGACCCCTTCGTGTCCGACTGTTTCAGTTTAGGTGTTCTCTTGTATACAATGACTACTTTGAAGTCAGTAGTTATGTGTTGTCGACACGTGTGGCGCTCACATAGCTAATCACCGACCAAATAGGCTATACCTGTATTACTACATTACTGTCCAATAGAATTTCATAGAATTAATTAAAATGTAATATTAGATGCTTTTTAATTAATTACTATATTCCCCACAAACCATATTCACACCAAAATATACGGCCATTACATTGAATGCGAGTGCCAACACACCTAAAATCCCCACACATTATGAACGCTACCACTACTTGTTTACTCGCACTCACCCTATTCGGGCTCCTATACCGGGCCCATACGGGAGACTGGGCCTACCCTATCGATAGCAATTTAAAAGAGCCCTGCGTGACCTTGCTGGTCAATAAGCGGGATGTTCCCCCTGGTGGGACTCGGGATAGTACTTTCGATGACCTCCCGAAAACCTTGTTGGGTATGAAATCGGGTCGCTCTCACAAGCAATGCATGAATGACGTTAAGAAGGCGCTCAAAAAAAGTTGGAGGCCGGGAGACCTACTAAGTGCCGGACGAACTATATTAGTTGCCTGACCGCCAACGTGTGCTCCACAAAGGCACCGTCCGATGAACCCACAATTGCCCTGTTACTCGTCAAAGTGAGCAAGGGCAATCGGCACATACTCCAGAAAGGCCAAACTTGTCAACCACAACGACCCTGAAGTTAATGGATTCCTGGTGCCTGAGAGCCAAGTCCTTTGAATTGTCTATTGATTTGAATTTTACTTTTTGTTTCGATTCTTAATACTATTTATTTGATTATTAATATGTATTCCTTTCCCACAGAATATTCTTTGAATAAACAAATAAAACTTTATAATTAAGTTTTTGTCACTTTATTTGAGTGATCACTGAAAATGTATTCACAAAATGGTTGATTATAAATAAATGTTACATTACTTGTTGTATAAAGTGTTGTATGCTTTACTAATTGTTATAATCCATGATTTTTTTTAAATAATTAAGCTATTTTATTACAAGTAGCATAAGTTTGAATCCAGTACAAAAATTTCAACCTATGGTTGAAACCCATAGACTAAAAGTATGTTAAAACCTATACACAAATGGATTATCCCATAAACTGAACCGGACATCATAGCCAAGCACACAATACTTGTGACACATACTGTTCAGTAGTAGTCTATAAAAGGTTTTACATAGAAATTATATAAGTTTTTTGATTTTTATTTTAAAATATTAAATTAATTTATAAAACTTTTTATTTTGTCAATCTAATATGACTTTCCAATATACATATGCACTAACTATTGACCGGATTATCTTGAACCGATTATCCAATCCTTAATCACTCTAAGGTTTTATAGTCCCAACTTACCGGTTTTAAAAAATATACTATATGTCATATAAATTGATCATGATAACAGCGAAATTAAGCTTTGCAAAAAAAGCTCCAGAATTTTTTAATTAAATTTGTATTGAAAATCATTCACAATATAAATAATAATTTACGAATCAATGTATTTCCTGAGAAATTAAAAATGGCAACTATTTTTGCGAAGCAAAATTACGCAGTTATGGTAAATTTATATGACATATAGTATATTTTTTAAAAACGTACCGTTGGGGCCATAAAACCATAAATCTAGATTAAGTACTGGATTATCCATTCAAGAGATAATCCATTTCCTGCACGTTAGATAGTTACTACGTATATTGTATATTATTGTACATGGTATAGTTGGGTATTAGTTATATTTAAAATACATCTTATATTAACAAAATAAAAAGTTTTATAAATTAATTTAATATTTTAAAATAA